CTGAGAAAAGGAAGAAAAAGGGTATAAGCTCAACAAAACCATTTAGAAGGGGAAACCCTCTTGACAAGGGGAGGTCCCTGACTGTGTAAACGTGTGCTACCTTTATTGTAGCCCTTTTTCGTACCATATATTGTAACAAAAGAGAATATAATTATCCAATATTAAGTTTGCAAGTTAAACATAGTGAAAACGTTATATAAAATAGAATGTAGCTGTTTAAAAAGCTACCTCGGTTTCTGCATTGGGTTTTTATATTGTTAATAAAATAGGAATACTGTTTGTGTGTGTGTGTGTAACATTCAAAGTCCTGTTTCCACCTTAAGATAATGAACTGTCATATACAGGCCCTTGCAGAGCTGATAAGTAAAAATGGAGGCAGTGGTTACAGCTACAAGGAACCTTTAGGTACCTGGAGCTCTGCCTGATGCGTAGAGAAGAACAATTAAATATATATTTTAACTTTCAGTCTTTAAAAGGTAACAGACTTGAATTTTTACAGATATTAAAGTATTAAGCATATTTTAAAAGCTGTAAGAAATAAAACAAGTAAGAAACCAAGATAGGAACTGGAATGTAACTTTGGGATGTCATTATAGGGTGCTTTTACAGGTTTTCTGCGTACCACATTTTCCTGCAGAGGAAACTCAATTGACCATGGAAAAGAAAGACTTAGTACTTTTTAATGTAATGTTATTTACTCTTTCATATTCTGTAGTACCTCACTACTGATGAGAGATGAGTTCCAGCGGTGTATGCATGTTATAATAGGCAATATAAATGAGATTATAATAAAAGAATCCTTGATGATACACGGGGAATTAACAGACGGGAGACCATATAGAAAAGCAAGCATGTACTCAGAGAAATTAAGCACTGGATAAGTCTCTGCTGGAGAGGAACCACAAAAGTGGAGGTTGAATCAAACTCATCAAGCCTCCTAAAAATTTGCGATAATCCAAAAAGAGAAGCAAAACCCATGAGTCGTGAACTTTATTTTATTTACATTATTTTCACTCCTTAGAACTGTGTCCTTGAAATTCCTTTTGGAAGAAGTTTTTAATTCTCAGTCTCAGTGAAATGGTGTAAATTAGAGGGTGAAAAAAGGCTGGAATAATAATAAAAAATAATAATAAAATCAGGTTTACAGTTCTTGGGTTATGAGATGGTAGAAAAATACAGTTTTTCTCTAAAACAGATTGTTCTGAATCTTCTGTGCAGATGTGATGCTTGAAGCGTGAAAAGAAGTGCCTTTGACAGGGCTGATATTTTTCCATTTTAAAGTATTTTAAAAATAAAATAGCACGTTATAGATTATTTTAATGTATTTTAAAGTACGTTAAAAAACAAACAAACAAACAAAAAAACGCTTTTCTATTAAGCTAAAGTTTCTTTTAAGTTATAAAGTCTCTTTTAAAATTAAGCACCCAGGAATTCCAAGACTCCTGTACCTGTGGCACAGGTACTCATCATTTGTTCTTTATACAGTGGGACTTTCCTTGGGATCAATCTTCAGGAAGGTACATTAGTGTGTGTCTAAACTTAAGAGTATCTATCTACCACTGAAGTCAATGGAGCTTAAGTAGGGGCTTAGACGTATACGTGTTTAAGACCTTTCTTTAAATAGCAGGGCCATAATGTCAATATATGTGAAATATTTTAGAGAACTGGAAAAGGCGAAATACACGATTGAAAGACCCAATGAAAACAGGTGAAAAAAGTGATGTGTACTACTGTTATACAACTTTTTGTCTGTATTTCTGGTAGGTGCACATTTCTACAGATCCAGCTACTAGTTTGGGCCTGTGTGCTTTTTTTCTCTTTATTGACAGAGTATAAATAATACAAATGGTTGTGCATTGTATGATATAATAGCCGATCCAGCATGCCAAAGAGCCGTGTATTACAATGGACTCTATTACAATGTTATGTATACTTTCTGTGGTTTACAAGTTCATGACATAGATAATTTCAAAACAATTAATAAACAAAAATTATTTACACAGAATTATTGAAAATCATTTTGAGGTTTTAAATGACTCGTACTTTCCATTGTAAGTGCCAGTGCTTGCTGCCCTTAGTAAATTCCTAGTAAAAACACTAGAAAATGTGCAGATGATTATTTAGGACAACATTTAAATACACATCAAAATGTACTGTTAACACAAAGCTAGGGTTACAAATGTTTTCATCCTCTGAAAATACACTTTAAGAGGAAGATAGTTTAAAAACTTCCTAGCATATTGTACTTAGATTTTACTTTAATTTCCAGGCGAAATTTTAACTATGTAGCTGATGCTGAAACCACAGCTAGAAACTAGCCAGCAGGCTAGCCAGAGCTGGAGTGGGGATGAAGGAATACTGGACAAGAGATTGGAATTGCCTAGGAAAGGCTATCGAGGCTGGGAGCTGCAGAAGGAAAGATACCAGGTAAGGGACTGGGAGAACTGGCTGAAAAACTGGGGGGAGGTGGGAATGGTCTGGTGTGAAAAGTGAGGGCATGAAAGATAGAGATAGGGATGAGGAAAAGGAAGAGGAAAAATAAACTGCCTAAAGAAATACATGGAAACAATGAGGTTGTTTAGAGAATGTGAAATCATAAAATGTCCAGCAGCCTGGGAGCTGAGACAGGGAGCAAGTATGCAGAGCCTGAGCGCAGATGAGGTTTGAAGGAGGGAACTGGATCTTGAATGAGACTGGGAAGGGAGAACTGGATCCTGGAGGAGAGGTGTAGAAGTCTGAGGCAGGCAAGTGTCTGTTGTATATAAATAAAGCTGGTATTTTATACTCCTTCCCTCGCTGGAGTGTCTGAGTAACTTTTCACATAAAAATTAATAGCAACCCTAACTTCCCCTGGGTAACAGGAGGAGACCTTTCTTTATTCGTTGAGTGGGGACTAGGCTAAGTAGTTTGAATTTTTTTTTTGTGGGGATAGGAAAGAAAACTCTTTGATCAGACTGTTTGGAATTAGTTTGGTGATACAACAAACTGAATGTCTCTTATAGTGGAAAATCTTTTTCAGGTGTTTCTGAAAGATGCCTGCTGTGTTGCTTAAGGACAATTATACTCTGGACTTGCACATTCTCCTTTGTCCTAGTGCCTTAAAAAAGGCACATTTCACCTCTGCTTTGTTTTGTTCTGGGGTTTGTAGTCTGTGCTGCTGCAGTCTGTGATGTTACTGGGGATGATGGTTTGTTAGCTCTCGTGCTAACCAGGCCCAATGCCTTATTCTGGTATTCGGAGCTGACCAGGAGCTGTCTGAAGGACTCAAGCTTTGTGTCCAAAAGCTGAGGCAAAAAAGCTGAGTCCAAAAGCTGAGGCAGCTTTTGCTCCAAAGCAAGAAGTTATATATATATTTATTTATTTATTGTCAGTAACAATTTTGAAGCAGTATTTTCAGCTTGATACAGTGAGTTGCAACTAATCCAACCTGGTATGAAAAATGCACTCCTTTCTCTGTCCAGACTGTCCTCAGCAAGATAAGAGTCTCCCAGCAAGGTGAAGGTGAAAGATAGTATTTTGGAAAACGTATGCTACTTGGATATAAAGCCAAAATGGGTACGGGCTGTGAAAGCCTGCCTCTCGGAGCTAGATAAGGGCTGTGAAAGGTGTTAGAAACATCCGACAGCTCCTCATGTGAAGGTTCCTCTTTTCTGTCCAGCGTCACTTCAGTTTTCTTTGGCTCCAGCCGCTCTCCACCCTAACCTCATTTCCTCTACCAACAGGGACATGCTGGCAGCGGGCACTCTGGCTGTGGGTGAGGTACCATCGCTGCCCTTGGCACGCTATTGTCAGCTGAACAGCGAAATCCTCGCTTAGATCTCTTGGGGGCGAAGGGCAGAGGATCCTGCGAGATAAACGCCTGGAGAAAGGAGCACCAAAAGCCGTTTCGGTGCCTGCGACTGCCACAGGAGCCCTGAGCGCGACGCCCGGTCCACAAACGCCTCAGCCCTCGGGCCCCGCCCCGCCCCGCGCGTCACGGGCTCCCTGCGCGCTGCCGCCAATCGCGGCGCCGGGGCGCGGGGGGGCAGCGCGGGGCTGCTGTGGCGCTCCCAGCTGCGCCTCGTCCTGCCTGCGGGCTGTGCGGGGCTGTGCCCGTCCTGCTGCCCGCCGCTTAAAGTTTGCAATGTGCCGCTGTGCAGCTCCAGGGTCTCGCTCTGGCTGCCCACTAAGGCTCTGTTCTCTCACAGAATAGTGCCAACAGGTCAATTAATCCACTTCTGGACTAAAATCCCCTGGTGGCTTCCCCCAGGCAGACACCTTTGATGAGCTCAGCGGGGTCAGAGGGCACGGTATGAGTGCAGCAGCCTGTGTGTACGTGAGGGCCAGAGTGTGCTGTGACCGCACGCACCGTGTGTGTGTGTGTGAGGACCGCAGCGTGCTGTAGCAGGGCGCTGTGCTGCTGGCAACGCGCTGCTCCTCAGCAGGCTGGGCTCCCCCAGGCAAATGGCTCTGCTGGCATGGCTCGGCTGTTCCTGCTGCTGGCGGCGGGTTGGGTGCCTGTGCACAGCTGCACCGTGCTGTGCTTATCGGCTGTAATACAGACTTTGTGAATCAAATACGATTTCTGTATCTAAGCCTAATTATCGATGTCAGCAGAAAACAAAGTGACTTTCCCTCGTTGCACAGCACCTGGCGTAACTGAGCAGGGCGCCTGCTAAATTCAGCCGCGTTTCCTGGTGAGACCGCCACAGCCTGAGAGAACCCACAGGGGAACGAGCTGCCCCTGCCCTCGCAGCCTGGCTTCGTTACGGGCGGCTGGCGGGCGGCTGGGCGTTACAGGCGTTGCCCTGTGGCGGCCGTTCCCCCCCTGTGGCGGCCGTTCCCCGCCCCGTCCCGCGGCGTGCCTTTGTGTTTGTACACACGGCGGCCGGGCGGGCAGGGAGGCAGCGCGGGGGCGGGGCCGGGGGGCGGGGCGGCGCCTTCCCTCCATTGTGCGCCATTGGCCGGAGGGCGGGGCGGGGGCGGGGCTTAGCGGAGCCCTCCCCTGGCCAGGCGGCCATCTTCCAATTGTGCTCGCGGCCGCCGCCGCCGCCAGCAGCAGCCGCCGCAGCTCCGGCTCCGCCCCGCGCCCGCCCCCTCCCCGCCCTCCTCCTCCTCCTCCTCCTCCTCCCGCTCCCTCCCGCACGGCAGCCGCGCTCGCCCAGCGGACGGGGTAAGTCTCGCGCCGCGCCCGCCGCCCCCCCGCGCCCCTCGCCCTTCTCCCCCTCACCCCCCCTCCACCCCCCCCGTCCCCCCCTCACAAACTTTTGGGGGCTCGGCGGGCGGCGGCAGCCCCCGTCCCCCGCCTCTCCCCGCTCGGCCGGAGCGGCTCCCTTCCTCCGGCACCCCCCGGCCCCGCTCCTCGGGCCCTTTGCCCCCCGCTGGCCCCCTCGGCCCCGCTCCGGACGCCCCCCCCGGCCCCCCGGCTGCCCCCCGGGGCCGGTTTCCCCCCTCTGGGGGCCGCTCCGAGGCGGCTCCGGGCAGCCCCGGGTAACTCCGCCGCCTGCCTGCCTTCCCCTGCTCCCCACAGTTGTTGCTCAGCTTCACCATCTTGTCTCTTTTCTCTGGTCACCGACCATATTTTTTTTTTTTTTTTGCCTATTGCATAAAAAACAATAAAAACGGAAAGGAGCGGGCCGAAGGAACGGCCCGAACCCAACGCGATTTTTTCGCTTAAACTTTTCCGCTGCCCCCCCCCCCCCCCCCCCCCCCTTCACGGGCACCCTCGCGCTTTGCAGCTCCTCGCAATTTTTTTTCGCCTTTTTTTTTTTTTTTTTTTTTTCGCGTTTTATTTTCTGCCTCCTTCTTCGCCGGGGAGGACTGGGGCTGCGCTTCGCGATTGTTTCCATCTTGTTCTGGGGCCGGCAGCCGACTTTGCCTCTGCGAGGCGCTTGGGAGCGAGGCGCTTTACAGGGCGGAGGGGGGGGCAGCGCTGCCACGGAGCGGGGGCCAGCAGGCTCCGGGGCAGCCCCCCAAAACTTTGCCGCTCTCCCGCACCTCCCCCCGGCCCCTTCCCTCCCCTCACGGCCCCCTCCGGGCTGTGGCTGCCCGCCCGCTGCCGGCCGGCGGAGCGCAGGGAGGGGGGGGGGGGGGGGCACAATTTGGGTCTGGCTGCTCGGGGCTGCCCCACGGCTCTGCCCCCTCCTCCGCCACCCGGGGGGGGGATTTGACCCGGGGGGGCTGCCCGCCGCTCGCAAGCCCTTTGGGGCGGCGTTTTCGGCACTTCCCCGGCCGGCAGCGGAACCGCAGCCGCCTCTCAGCGCCCTGCAGCTGGAGGGGCCGCAGCCCGGCTGGGCGCAGCGGGCGGTGTTACGGGGGGGGGGGGGGCGGTTGGGGGGCGGTTTAACGCCCCCCCCCCTTGCCTTCCTCACGGGGCCAGCGGTCGTTACGCGGCTCGGGGGGGGGGTTTTGTCGCCGCAGGTGTAAGGCAGCGACGTCGGCAGGAGCATGGCCCGCACCAAGCAGACCGCCCGCAAGTCCACCGGCGGCAAGGCGCCCCGCAAGCAGCTGGCCACCAAGGCGGCGCGCAAGAGCGCGCCCTCTACCGGCGGGGTGAAGAAGCCGCACCGCTACAGGTAACGCAGCGCCCCGCACCGGCGGCACCGCACCACCACCCCCCCCCCCCCTTTTAATTAGGATTTTTAATAATTAGCGTGGCTTTTCGGCGCTTTCAGCCGCTTAACCGGGCGCGCGCCGCGCGCTGCCGCCGCCGTGGGGGCGGTGCTGGCTGCGTGGCGTTTGTTTTGGAGGCGTGCGGGGGTTTTGCAGGGGTGGTGCCGCCGCCAAGTTTATTGTCGCGGGGGGGATCTGCCGCTGTGTGTCCCCCCCTCCCCGCGCTGTCCCCCCCTCGCCGTGGCGGTGCAGCGGGCACGGCCGGCCACGGGGGGGCGCGAAACGCCCGCGGGTGCGCGGCGGCTCGGCCCCGAAATAGCCGCTCTTAGGGAAAAAAAAAAGGGAATAGTTTGTTAGGAGGAGAGGCGGATCTTTGCAACCGCGCTCCGACAGCGAAGCTCTCCGCCCGGGGAAGCCCTTCCTCAGCCCGGAGCAGTGAGAGTCGTGCAGCAGTTTGGAGACAGTCCCGGGATAGGTGTGCGTGTTACCTGGGGAAAGGCACCAAGTTTGTTGGAGGAGGAGCAGGTTGGGAATAGTGAGCGTAACCGAAAGTTTATTGTGGGAGGCGCGAGGATGAATTGACAGGCTGGGAGGCAGGTTATAAGGCTAGAGTTAGAAAGTCCCAAATTTCTGCAGAAATAATTGTGTTACCAACTTTCTGGGTAAGCTCTGTGCGTAAGTATATTGTCCATCAGAATTTGTAGCTCTAATGCCAGGAAATGGATTGGATACTTTTACTGATAATACTATACAAAATATAAATTACTGTTACTTCTGAGAATGTTGCCAGTGGTTTATGTCAGCAGGGAGGAAGAGCCAGATGACCCTTAGTATTGTATTGCTTGTCAGGCTAATTGCGAGGAGGGTACCTCCGGAATTGTTGAACAAGGTAACTCACAGCAGCCTGCACCGAGACCACTAACACACATCAGTGTAAGGTAGCTGACATGCATTACACAGCTTTTTGGTTGCTGTCAGGACATCTTACAGCCTGGACTTGTCCTGCAGGGATCCCTACTGGCGCTACTGGAAGTTCATACAGGTTAGTGGTAAGAAATAGGGACCCATTGAAAGAGAAACTGTTTTCCTATTGTAGATGCTGGGATGCTTCTACACAGTACATTTGTGTGCTTAGTTTAGGTTAGATTACGAACCCATATGTTAAGGTGATGTAGAATTATGTTTTGAATACTAATTCTTCTTTTTTTTATTATTATTATTATTTAATTTTAAAAGGCCAGGTACCGTGGCTCTCCGTGAAATCAGACGCTATCAGAAGTCTACTGAACTTTTGATCCGCAAACTTCCCTTCCAGCGTCTGGTGCGTGAAATTGCTCAGGACTTCAAAACAGATCTGCGCTTCCAGAGCGCTGCTATCGGTGCTTTGCAGGTAAGTGCTGCTGGGAGAAGCACCCTGCACGGGTGGCAATTTGTATGGGTTCTCGAGGAAGTTGCTAAAGCATGCATCTATCTGCTTTCCAAAAGAAGCAGTTATTGTAAGGACACAACTATTGCTATTGTGAATGCTGTAAGAAAGTGACTCTTGCACCCTAAAAGCCAGAGATTTCAGGTAGGGGAGGGCTCTTCCCCTTGCCCCGTTGGCCAGAATGTTTCTATGGCTAGCCCTAGCTGCTCTGGATGGGTGGGCAGAGCTGCTATCAGAGGGGCTTTGACGTGAGGGATGCACCCTCACAAGCATCCGTTGCTCACAGTTGACGTGGTGATGCCCTACAGTTACCATAGCTAAAATAGCACAGTGGCAGGTCAGCAGCTTGTTACAACAGCTACAAATGTGATTTTGTAACCAGCTACCCCAACTCTTCTCCAGGTGACAGAAGAGTTAATTTAATAAGACACGTAAGATAAATCTATTTCTTCTGTCCTCAAGCATTGTTAGAGTTTTTACCTTTGGAAGAGAGGAAAGTGTCACTGTGCAGAACTTTCTAGACTATCCAAATGGAGGTCTTCATTTGAAAAATAAAGAAAAACAGCTTGATGAGCCACACCTAAGTGTGATTGAGGAAATAAGTGGTTTTGTGTCAAGTACTTGATAATAAACACATTTTCTTATATGTTAGTTAAATAACTGACTTAAAATACATTGAGGGTGAAGTATTGATTGCTCCTTCTGAGCAAAAATCTTGGCAGTGTAACTTAGAATCTAGTGTAACCTACTTAGAACTTGATATCCTTGTTAAAGTAGTTGTATGCTTTTGCTTCCTCTGGTCTGACAACTGATGGGCTCCAGCTGTGTAGTTGTACTTCCTAAATACAGTGCCCAAAAGTTTAATCTTGTGGCAGATACTCAGCATCTAAGGTGCCCTCCAAGGCTATGGAGGGGATTCATGGAACATCATGGAATTAAATGCTGCATTTCTTTGTCATGACAGAAATATACACCTGATTTGAAAGATTGTTCCAAAACCTATCTGTAATTATAGAATATATTATATCAAAACACAGCCATCTCTTTCTGATTCATGGCTTCCACTTTGGCCAAAATGTGTGCCATGATGTCCTGTAAACTTGCACACATGCTGTGCTTCAAAAGATGACTGTATTTGTATGGTTGCTGCTTTTGCTTTTAGTTGGTGTTCTGATGTCATTGCTGAGAGTGAATGTTAGTTCTTAAATTGTGAGGTTTATCTGTGTTTTGGTTTTTGATTTTAATCAGGAACTGCATGTTGAGATTTAGTCAGTAATAGATTCAAATTCAGAACACTAGCTGGAATGTTCCTGGGTTTGTGTTAAGCAGTTGTTAGAGAAGCTGTTTGTGTAATATTTGTACTTGCATATTTTCAAGGAAAAAAAAAGCAAACTTTTAACTCTTCTAGTACCATGTTGTTCATGCTAGTATTTAGTGAGGTGTCTTAACTTTTCATGTAGTGAATTAGCAAAGCTGTGATAGGATAACTTACGGCATATTAAATGAATTAATACTACAGTTAGCATCTGCTGTAGTAAATATTTTTTTTCTTCAAATTAAAAGTTCTGTGTAACCTAATAAGTTGATTTAGTGGCTCACACAAGCTGTTCTTTTGTACGTATTCTAGAAGTGTGGACCTCAGCCTTCCTTTGGAAGTGAGCCCAATTGCTTCTGTCTTTTTATCCGAAGTGCATGCTGTGTCCTGTTCTGCATCTGATAGTGGCACACTTCTTAGGAGGCTGCTAGGTGTTAGAATGCTGAATCAACCCCAAAATGGGTAAACTATGTGCTAGGCTTAATACCAGCCGAATTAACGTGAGCTAGAACTCAGTCCAGCTGGGCACCTGTCTTAACCCCAGATCCTGTCTGCAGTGGTTTAGTAACGGGGACAGCACAGTGATCAGGGCTGTAGTTTTCCTAGCAACAGGACTTGTCCTTTGCCCTTCCAAGGTGCTGGCTGTGTGATTCTCACAGATGTGAGAGCCTTCTGTGTAGCTGGGGGCTGTGACATCTGTGCCCCACATCGACTGGTGATGATTAGGGAGGAACAGGGCATAGGATCGTGAAAAGTGTCTATTGGTAATTCTCAGACTGCTGTTCTGCTTTTGGTGATTCAAGAAGTTTGTGAATCAAAGGTGTTGTACCCTTGTACCTAATAATTTCTGGTATGTTTCTGTTGTTAGTTTGTGATTTTTGAATTAAGCAACCTCTTCAGTAGCTGCAGCATCCTACATCAAGGAGCTGTGCGTTGTGAAGGAATATCTGCTCTTTTCCTTAGCACCCAATTTTACTAGATGCTCAGTAGCTCTTACTTTGGAAGAACAGAAAAGTAACTTAAATGGTGTAACACCGCCTTTAAAAAGAGAAGTTCTTAAACAAACTCACCTTTTGATAAGATGATCCCTTATCTGTGAGAGTGCTGTCACAATATTTATTCAGTTGTGTTCCAGAGGATGTCCCTCACTAAATGGTGGTAGTACGCAGCTTTGACATAGAATATTATTCGGTGGTTTGTAAGAAAATGGAGTCTTTTATTTTTTAACGATCTAAAACTTTCTGTGTGTATTAATAAAAATAGAAGCCTAAATGTAATGCCATCTTATGTTGTACTTAGAATTCCTTTTTTCTCCCTTATATTCAGAGAGTGAAAGTGTTCTTAACTCTTTTGTTCTATACTAGGAGGCAAGTGAAGCCTACTTGGTTGGCCTGTTTGAAGATACCAACCTGTGTGCTATCCATGCCAAACGTGTCACAATCATGCCAAAAGATATCCAGCTAGCACGCCGCATACGTGGAGAGCGTGCGTAAACTTCACCACGATGGGTTTGTCATTCTTGAAGCAAAATATTCTTCCTGTTATTGGTAGTAATGAACGTTAGATATTTTTTCCATGGGGTTAAAAGGTACCTAAGTATATGGTTGCAAATGGAAAAATAGGGGACAGAATTGGTATTGGCAAGTTTTTTTCCATTTTCATTTGTGTGTGGATTTTTAATATAAATGAGGGGACATAAAACATCGATGCAGGCAAAAAAAAAGTCTCAGTGAACAAGTTTCAACAATTCAGCTTTATAAAAATTATAAATAAACCTGTCAAATTTTTCTGGACAATGCCAGCATTTGGATTTTTTTTAAACAAGTAAATTTCTTATCAATGGCAACTAAATGGTGTTTGTAGCATTTTTATCATACAGTAGATTCCATCCATTCACTATACTTTTCTAACTGAGTTGTCCTACATGCAAGTACGTTTTTAATGTTGTCTGTCTTCTGTGCTGTTCCTGTAAGTTTGCTATTAAAATACATTAAATGATGCCTGGTTTTAGTCTTGATTTTTAAATATTACATTTGGGTTATATTTGAGTAAAAAGTAATCAGCCTATATCTGGATAAATCTTCTTACCCCTTTCCTTTTTCTCTTCCATCTGTGGCCTAAATACCTATGGTAGATTTAGGAAAGAAACACGGTTGATACTACCTTGGCTGAAGTGCTGTATATGTAAGGTTATATGTTTTAGTTTTTTTAAGAGGTTAAAATCTGTCTACTCCACATGAAAGCAAGTTTGGTATGTGTATATTGCTGCGTAGAGTCTGGAGCTCAACTGAGCTTTATTACTTAGCCTTTTCTTAGCACTGCAGCTTTGTTGCTGTTTAGACTCTTCTCTTATTTGAATTAATACTGAATTTGGAACCTTTTCTCTTTTTGTGCCTCACTAGACAGTGCAGTCAGTATAAGTGGTGTTTTTTTCTTTGCTTTTTTTTTTAATTATTATTAAACCTTTGCACTCCATTATCTGGTTTCTTGATTTGTAGGTATTCACTTTCTTGGTTGACTACCTCCTTTCTTTTTCAGTAACACCCTCTAGGATGTTGAAGAGCTTAGCCCACATAACTGGTTGTGGTTTGTACACTCCAATCAAAAAGACACTTTAGTAATGTTTTTGTTAAAGTACTTTATAGAAGCAGTACTTAGACATGAATGTACACTTAAAACCTACTATTTTTTGATGAAAGCTCCTGCAAAGAAGTTTACTGCTGAGACTGTCAAAATGTGGTTTACATTTTTCACTTGAAACTGGGTTAAAGATTCTGATGGGCCAATCTGAAAATGAGTTATGTGGTGTATTTCTTGATAGTTCTTGCAGATGATGAAATGAGTTACAGAGAAGAAAACACATAGGCAGTGAATGGATGCAAAGATTCCTACAAAGCTTATTTGCTGCTAACTTCTTTGAAGAAGGTCTGAGTGAGTTCTAAACACGAGTGAAGTTGTCTGAATGTTTTTAAAGAGGATTAATAGAGGTGTATATCTGCTTTGGCATCTAGAACAGAGTCAAAGATTACAGAATAAATCACATTATTCATAATTTGCTGTCTGCCAGGGTTGTGCCATGTAGAGTTTGTTTTAATGGAGTAGTTTGTCACAGAGAAAACTAGTGCTAGACAAAATGTGACCGCACACAGTCACATTTGATGCCAAGCAGTTCATAGCTTTGAAGTAAAAATTAAGGAGAATGTGTCCTGGAGCATCCTGAATGGCAAATATAAAAGGTGTACAACTGAGATTTAACTGATTTGAGACATCACTTCTGTTAGGTTGATAACAGCTCTGTTAAACTTGATATAAATGCATTTCAATATACCAAGTCTGCAGATATTAAATACTATTTTGTCCTATATCTCAGAATTGTTTCATGCATCAATCAACAATGCTGCAACCATTCACACAAAGGTAATAAAGCTGTGGATTTTTTTTTTTTGATAATGTGGAATTGTGAAGTATTGACAAAAGAACTTAAGTTTTTCTTTCTTGTACATATATTAGAAAATCAAATCTAGAAATTCTGGTATACAAATGTAATACCGAGTTTCTCCCTTTAAAAGAGAGAGTCGGGATGAGAATGCAATGACAGTGCAGGTAAATTGTTCAGTGCAGAAGAATTCATAAGGGAAGACCAAGAGGATCAGGAATTAGGCAGCTGACAGCATTGAAGCATGCAGTGCTACACCTACAGCTTAGGGGTAAGCTTTGCTTCTCTGTGAGTGTTCTGACAGTTGTGGTCCTAGAGATACTAAGTGTGTTGTCTTGTTCTTATCCCTGTGGAATCTTAGGGAACCACCTTTCTGCTCTTCACTTGCCTTTTCAAATTCAATGAATTTTCATTCTTCAGAGATTTTTTTCCACTGTGCAATGGAACAAATTACTTAATCTCTTTCTTACCACCTGCCCCAAGTGCATATTTTGTCTTTATTGTGCAGCAGCATGAAAATGGGAACAGCTGTCAGCTTTCAAAAAGAATTGCTTTTTCATAATATTTTGCCAGAGGTGTCAAAGGTGTCAGTGTAATTTTGGATGGATCTTCTAGTCAATGCTGTTTAGCTAGGGTTAATGGAGGAAGGAGAGGACAAAAGGTGACTTTCCTTTTTTCTTCCTTTTTGCCTTTTTTTTTTAATGCTGAGAGTTTAGTTGTTTGGGATTATATTTTCCAGCAGATTTTGAAGCTATCTGTCTGTTGGCATAACTTAACCAGAGATGACAGTTCATTTGCCAGGCGTGGGAGTCTCTCAGAAACAGGCTTTGCAATATAGAAAACAAAGCAGAAAGATGGGGTTAATACAAAAGCCGCTGGAGATAGATGGACCTTCTGTGGTTCCTGTTTAATCAATTTCTTTTTGTGGGAATGCTGTTACACAAGGAAAATGTTTATGGAAGGTGGTGGAGGGACAGGAGGACTGCACAGCACTCAAGATCAAGGATTAGGGTATATATACGTGGATCATTAGAGAAGGTACAGTGCAGCATGTTATTTAGATCCAGGTTTTAAGCTGCAGAAGTGATGCTGGTGCTTCCCGTAGTAAGGATAATAGGATCCTGCTCCCTGGGATGAAAAGGAGGTGCTGACAAAATAGACGTGATGCAGTTACGTGCAATAGCGTGTTCTAAAAGTAACAGGAGAGTTGTGTTTTGATTGCATCAATCTTCTTCTTTCACACATTGCCACACATCTACCATGCTGTTTGATGGCAGTGAGCAATAGCTGTTGCTGGCCCTGTTAGTTGCCTGCATATGGAGGTTTGGGTATCAGCTGGAAGGAAGTTCAGCCTGTGCTACAAATTCCTCAGGCATTCATCAGATAGGTACTACAGCTTATCTTTTCACTCCCACTTGCCTGGGCTGCTTCCACTGAAGCTGGCAGGTGGGGAAATGAGGTGCATGGGGAGGTAGCTGACCCACAGGATGTCTGCTACAACATTTTGTTGCTCTTGGGTGCCCTAATTGTTCTTTTGATAAACAAGGGGTCGTCCTCCTGGAACTGTATATGACTACTTATTGGGCAAGATCATTTTTGAGGAAACTACTGACAAATTTTAATGCATTTTACAATGATTTTAAGTTGTGATTTCAGAGTTGCAAGCTTTTCTTTGGCCAGTTTTGCAAGCACTGTTCATAATCTTACAAGAGTCTTAGCATCTACAGTTACCGTGAGTTGAGGAAATTTTAAAAATGTAAATTCCTATTAACTTCTGGCGTATGGGAACAGTGGGAAAAAAGGTGAACACCATTAAACTTGAATATGGGCTGATGTAACAGTGACAGAAAGAGAAACCCACTTAACTCACACATACTGCATCATCTTTTTACATGCAAGAGCGATGTAATGCTGATGTAAAGCATTTGCATTCTGTGGAAGAAATGGCTTCATTTTTTCTTTCCTGTCTGAAAAAAAAAAAAAGATTGAACTTAGTTCCTAAAAATAGTTTGCTTTTTTCCCCTTACCAGTTCTACTGTTTCCTGGGCAATTCAATTACAGCTGAGATCTTGAATACGAGAAACAAGTTGTGGTCACGGGGAGCAGTTTGGGTGGAGGGATGGAAGTGACGTAGCTTGCTACATGTTAGTGGCAAGTGTTCAAAGGTAGATCACCTGTTTCAGACTTTGTTGCATGCATGTCAACATTTGCATGCCTGGATTACCTTGTGAAGCATTTATACACACAATACATGTATGCGATAAACTGGTTTTTAGGCCCTTGTTTTAGATTTTTATGTTAACAGCTGTATTTACTTGCATTTTTTCAAGAGTACAACCAAAAGATTTTGTAAAGTTGAACACTGTCTCAACAATACAAAGCAGTCATGCCTACTAGAAACTAAAGTGAATGGACTCGGAAATTTTTTTTTTGTTTTAAATCTGAAGAGGCTGTGGTATTTTCTGACCTGGATAATATGTCAAAAACAAACAAGCAAAAAAAAAAAAAACAAAAAACAAAACAAAAAAAAAAAAAACACAAAAGCAACCAACCAAAAGAAAACACAACACCTAGAAAAAAAATGCATCTATCAACATTAGAATTAAGTGTTCATTTTGGTTGTATAATCTGACCTGCTTAATGTATACTATTGAATTTCATCAGATGGAACCTAATCCAGTTCATGTTGTCTTTTTGAATTTGGAGATGGATCTAGCAGTCTGAGGACTTGCTTTGAAAGTGTGCTCTGAAAGCATCTCTAGTGATTGTCTGGTTTCTGTTTGGTAGAGCCACTATCTGATAGTTAAATAAGGCAACAAATTGCTCTCAACAAGAAAATAAATCCCCAAACTAAGATTCATCCCATCTGTTTTTTTCATTCATACCCCCCATTACCTTGCTCCTGGCCCATGCATGGGGATTTTAATTTATTTAAAAAAAAAAAAAAAAAGATATTCAGATCCTGGTAGGAGGCTAGGTACCATCTCCTCTTCATTTGAAGATTATCTATGGAGAGTATTGCATAATTGTGAGGAGATGGGTTGGGGAATGCTCTCCTTTGCAGCATGCCTAGGGCGTAACTTTCTGCCTTTTCCTTAATGGTGATGCTTATTGCCCCTCTGCAGCAGTAACACTGAATATCAAGATGCTAAGGCAAAATCTCATAGAAATGAGGCTGGAGCTGAAGGCAGGTACAGCATGCTGTCATTCTTGAGTGGCAAACAAGCCTAGATTACTGCCCATTTCTCTTGATAACGCATTTGTAGGCTTATACTTAGCTTGGGGTTTGAGATGTGCACGTGTATTCTCTGCTGCGTTGTCCCCTGCCAGCAGCATCCCCCTCATCTCCTGCTGGAGGCAGGCAAGTATGAGCTCTAGCACAGCAGGGGTGCTTTATGGTGCTGGAAGCTCCTGTGAAGTCAGAAAGATTTAAGGGGGAAAAAAAAAGGCAGAGAGAGAGAGAAGGAAGAAACAAAAAGCCATCCCTACAGATCTGGAAAACGCTGATGTCTTCTGCAAGCATTTGGACCGTGCATTCCTTTCCTCTTACCTTGACATGAATG